CGGGGGAGGGGGCGGGGGCGGGGCCCCCCCCCCCCGCCTGCCCGCGGGCAGAAGGCGCAGCTCGCAGGGGCCCCGGGGCTGTCCCTCAGCGCTGCCTTCAGGGCTTGGGCGGGCGGTGAAAGGGGGCGCAGCTCTCACACCGCCCCCCGTGCTGCTGGGGGCTCCCTCCCCACACACACACAGGAGAGAGAATCACGTGTGTGTGAGTGTGAATGCGAGTGGGCATGAGTGTGACTGTGGGGGTGTGTATGTGCGAGAGACTGTGTGGAGATGTGTGTGTTAGTGAGCATGAGTTTGTGTGAATGTGAATGAGCATGTGTGAGTGTGTGAATGGGAGTGTGTTAGTGAGCATGTGTGTGTGAATGTGAGTGTGCATGAGTGTATGTGACTGAGAGTGTGTGAATGTTAGTGAGCATGTGTGTGCATTAAGTGTGAATGTGAGCATGTGTGCGTGTGTGAATGTGTGTGTGTGAAAGTCAGTGTGAATGCAAGTGTGCATGAGTGTGACTGTGTGTATGTGTGAATGTGTGCTAGTGAACGTGAGTGAGTGCATGTGTGTGAATGTGAATGTATTAATGAGCATGTGTGTGTGTGAGGGTGAATGGGAACGTGTGTGTGTGTGTGTGGGTGTGAGTGTGTTAGTGAGCATGAGTGTGTGAATGTGTGAAAGTCAGTGTGAATGCAAGTGTGCATGTGTGACTGTATGAGTGTGAATGTGTGTTAGTGAACATGAGTGTGTGCATGTGAGTGTGTGGGTGTGTGTATGAATGTGAGTGTGTTAATGAGCATGAATGTGTGTGAGAGAGGGTAAATGGGACCGTGTGCAAGTGTGTGGATGTGAGTGTGTTATTGCGCATGAGTGTGTGAATGTGTGTGTGAAAGTGAATGTAAGTGTGCATGAACGTGACTGTGTATGTGTGAGTGTGTGTGCATGAGTGTTAGTGAGCATGTGTGTGTGAATGTGTCTGTGAAAGTGAATGTAAATGTGCATGAGTGTGACTGTGTGAGTGCGAATGCAAGTGTGTGCTAGTAAACATGAGTGTGTGCATGTGAGAGTGTGTGCATGTGAGTGTGTTAGTGAGCATAAGAGCACTCTCTCCTGCTTCATGGTTGGATTTACCCTGCATTTTTACTGAGGCTTTTGGTTTTGTCTTAACCGGTGCTGGGTTGGGAATGTCAGGACTGGACGGGCTTAAGCGTCTGTCTGGGGTGGCTTGGGCTGGGCTGTTCCTGCCTTAAGCATGGTGCCAGCAGAGCAGAGGTGGTCAATGTCCAGCCCACGGGCCAAATGGTGCCTACGCAGCCATGGTATCCAGTCCATAGGACTCCCCATCAGGTGGGATCTTTGGTGGCAGGGGAGTGGTGACAATTAATACGGCCACCCTCCATTGCTGCTAGATTCCCAAACACCAAGTCCCATGGGTGTGCCTGCTTCTCCCTGCAAAATTGGGTCAAGCCTTCTTCCCAAACTATGGGGCTAGGTTGGGACTGGACTTCCCCACATCCTCTTCTGCATGGCTAGATGGGGCTCCGCCAAGCCCACCCCAGACATCGCATTGGGTCCACGGATGAACTGGGCACTGCCCATGTGGCCTAATGGGCAAAAAGTTTGAGCACTACTGGCATAGACAACCTTCTGAGGGTGTTGCTAGCCCTGTTATTTTTTGGCACTATGCAAAGAAGAACCAAATTGCCCCTCCCTCCCTCCTTCCCCCCACTACAGAAAGGATGTGGGCAAATTGGAAAGAGTCTAGCAGAGGGTGACAAAAATGGTTTGAGGCTTGGGGAACATGACTTATGAGGAGAGGCTGAGGGAACTGGGCTTATTCAGTCTAGAGAAAAGAAGACTGAGAGGGGGTTTAATAACAGCCTTCAACTACCTAAAGGGGGGGGTTACAAAGGATGGAGCTAGGCTATTCTCAGTGGTGGGAGATGACAGGACAAGGAGCAATGGTCTCAAGTTGCAGAAAGGAAAGTTGAAGTTAGATACTAGGAAGAGCTTTCTCATTATTAGGAGGGTAGCGAAGCACTGGAACAGGTTACCCAAAGAGGCTGTGAATCTCCATCCTTAGAGGTTTTTAAGACCCTGCTAGGCAAAGCTTTGGGTGGGATAATGTAGTTGGGGGTGGTCCTGCTTTGAGTAGGGTGTTGGTCTAGATGACCTCCTGCAGTCTCTTCCAACCTTGGTTAGAAACTTATCCATCTTCTGTTTAAGTGAAACCTTTGCTGTCTCCTTTAGTGCTAGTAGGGCACATGCATGTAGCTCTTCACAACTATCTAGGCCTCAAAATGTTAGTGTGTGGAAATGATTGAAACAAGGGGTAGGCAACCACAAAAATTAACACAGGAATACACTTGACATGTCTGGAAAGGAATGAAGAATTCTGCAGGAGGGGGAGAGCCTTCCCATGACCTGTTTCAACACTTTTATGAGTCAGTGACTTAAAGGAATAAATAGTTTCCATTTTAGAGGACAAAGATGCTCTGGGGATAAAGTGACAATAGCAGGCAATGCTAGGGAAGAAGGCAGGACAGTTTGAGGGCTCAGTTTTGGGACCATTATTCACATGAATTGTCCCATTCAAGTTACTCTTTGTTTCTCCGTATTGCTGACATCAGAAATCTGGAAAGTGTTGCAGAAAGCTTTAGGCTGGGCACAAAAGAGAACCCAACATGATGCCTTTTATGCCTTTTCCTTTGCTTGTCACCTGTGGCATGGGCCTGCGTTACAGATCAAAATGTATCCTAGACTTTTTATGCATGGGTTTATTCAGGGTTCTTTAAAATTCCCAAGCCTGCTGGCAGCCAAGATGCCATGACACAGATAAGTCAATACATAAATCAAGGTGCCACAATGAGGCCCCTCAAGAACCCTTCAAGATGGAGTAACAACACAGAGACCATAGACTTTCCTGAAAGGTGACTTTCAAGACTGTTCAGAAATTGGTGCTGAGACAATAGAGTATATCCTCCTGAGGGGTTCCATTTCTTTTGCCAGGGAGACTGGGCTGACTGGTTGCCCATTCCTGGAGGAAGTTGCAAGTCTTGCCACTAAAATCCCTGCAGAGGAGGCATCTGGAGAGGAAGCTCCACTTGACATATGACTTATTTCCAGGCTTGTGGAAGATGGAGGTATATTTAGGTCTAAGCTTGGTAACCTGGAACATATTAAGTTAGGAGGTATTTATGAAATGGAGGGAGAGGCTTGCAGAATGCCAATTACTAATGATTTAGCCATTTTGCTTCCCTATTCTAGTACCCAATGGCAATACAAAGCATACAGTGATGACACTGCAGGGGGTGCCTGTGCAGGGGGTCGGACTCGATGATCTATTGAGGTCCCTTCCGACCCTAACATCTATGAATCTATGACACAAGGAGAAAACAAATATATTTTCCCATCTTGCCCTGGTTTTATCAGCACCTGTAGGATTTGTTATCTAGTTCCTCTTCCTTCATCCTTCTTAAGTCAGTTTTTAATAGACACTGAAAAATAGTGTCTTAAAATTTGAATTGACAGTGTAGTGTCAGAAGATTCTGGTCCCAATACTGCTTTTTGTAGCATTCAGAAGAGAAAAAAAAAATCCTTTTGTCTATGATGGATACAGGAACAGGCCCTTAGCCTTGTGTAACCTATATCTTTAAATATGGCCTGTATTAAATCTTAGTATTCTTTCCCAAAAATAATGACAAAAAATCATCTCTAGCAGAGTGTAGGTAATTCAAGAAACCACTAAAGCTGAGCCCCTCAGGAATAATTACTTGAATATAATTAAATCCAACATCCTCAAAGGAAAGATTGCACTAAAAGCTAACACAGGGACATTGAACTGTAAGACAGTGTTGTTGGTTTTTTAAAGAAAAGAGTATATAAAAATAACACTTATAGTCAACATTAAATACATTAAAATCGTAAATTGGAACATGGAAATTATTTAAGCAGCTATAAGAATTGTAGAATGTGGGTATACACAAAAGGAAGCAGGGGAAGTGAGGGAAAAGAAAGGGAAGCATGGTTATGTGGCAAAGGAAATCCAGCATAGGTGAAGCCTAGAAAAGGAAGATAAATTTATTTTGTAAATGTCACCTGGAAATGAAAAAAGCTAGAAAAGAAGCACGTTTGGAAGCACAAATAGCCAGTACCAAAGATACAAATGAGATGTTTACCACATAGATAGGCTCAGGAATCTTTTGCAGAATAATTGGTAGGGAGAAAAAGGGATTTTCGAAAGGCTATATAGGAAGTTTGCGAAAGAGATGGGAACTGAACCTATACTCATGTGTCCCATTCTATAAATTGTCCTTAATAGCAAGGTTAAGTAAGGGAGCAGCATAATAATGAATGACATTAAATACTGACAAATGTAAGGTAATGTACACTGAAGGAATCATTTGAACTAGTTCTACCCATTGCATAGTTCTTCATTAACTGTGGCCAGTCAAGAGTGTAAGTACTAAATGTTGCTTTTTTATCCCATTTAAAAATTAATTACAGAAATAGAGCTC